GAATGGGTGATTCTCTCGGAGGAGCATTCCATGTGACGTATGTGGAAAACCTGCCAAGCATCGTACGCTGTGGGTTAGTCCCCGGCGGAATCGCTGGCGGCAACAGGCTAGCACTGCACTTCGGGGCGTTTGCTCCATGGGATGAGATGAACGTGGCGACGAAGACAACGCGACGGAACGTGAGGAGAGGGGATCCGATTGCGATCATCTATATTCCCAGTGCAACCCTCGCGCGGTATGGGGCTGGAGTCGCGGCTAATGGGACTTTCATGGTCTTTGACGTGATCCCGTTCTATGAGGTCAAGTCCATTTGGATTGGCAAAAGCAACGGAGGGAAGCGCCTGGCGTACGCTGACATCAAGAGGGCGTACTCGAAGTGTGTGGAGAACGAGATCTGCCCTGGCTTTGTCAACTCTTCCCAAGAGTCGGCTGCGATGTTCCTCCAGAACGTCGCAAAGATCAGCGAGAGGATGCCGGAGACTGAGACAGGTGCCGATAATCTGCACTATATCGTTGACATGGTTAATCGTGCTTGCGAACTCTATCGAAACAACAAGATGGAAGAGTTCAACGCACAGGTCAACGAGGTCCGGGACGAAGTCAGCAAAGTCGACATCCTGAATGATGAGACATGGGAAGGACTGAGGTGCCGGATATGTCCATCATGTGCGACCGCGATCCCTACCTGCTTCTGCTTATGCCTGGAGTGCGAGGCACAACTGATCTCCATCGGAAGATACTACATTCACATCAAATCCGATGACGAGGTGGACAACCAAAACCCCAACGTCTCTGGAGATGCCAGGCGTGCACAGGAAGAAGCTAACCACGATGCGGCAGCACAGGAGGATGAGGACGAAGCGGAGGAAGTTCCGGGAGAAGATGACGACTTGGACACGCAAGGATATACATCCGGCTATGCGTCAGAAGAAGAAGACGGCGGTTGGCATTACCGCGACACCGATCTGACGTCACGGGACATTATAAGTTCCCAACGGATGGCGATCTGCCTCGACGAGCCGCGTGAGGCTCAGTACATGGCAGGATTTATCGCACTCCAGCTGTCCAAGATGTGGGGGATGTTTGAAGGTGGTGAGGATAGAACGATGATTGCCAAGCTCGAGGGGAGAGAGGGCTGCCCTTACCACAATGACTACAGGAGGTACCCCAACATCACTGAGCATGATCAGGAAGGTATACTTTTGCCATCAACAATAACGAAGATTTCTCAATCGGAGAATGTTCGGACAAGAGCCTTCCGATCGGTTGAGGAGCGTGACGAATATATTCGTATGATGGTGTGCAAATGCGAGGGACTTAACACATTCTACAAGCTGTGGATTGCAGCGAGAATCCTCGATGTCACCAAGGAAGAAATGAAGCTCCTGGTCAAGGACCGAGTGCACCCGGTGGGTGATATTATTTTCAGATGTTTTGCACTAGCTTTCAACTGTAAGTATATATCATTCGTGAGGGATGGCCTAAACCGTGGCAAGAATGGTTACACGGTCAACGTGAGCGCCATCATCTCGGCCATCGACCCGAACAAATGCGACACACCCCTGCTGGATTGGTGCCTTCGGAAAGGGCACTGGTTGCCAGAGGACTACAACAAGAAGTGGGTCCGGGCACGAGAAGCCCAGAAGAACTTGGACGAGGAGTTCCGCCGACGTACCCATAGGCTGTCCATTGGGAACAGGTATGCTTCGTGAAGATGCTGATTGCGGTACGATGTGGGCCAGTCCCCATCTGTTACTTGCGTCACATCGACACTGTTTCAGTGGAACGACTTATGTCATGATTTATATTCATGTGTCCAAGATGATTGGATGTGTACATGGTTACATATTCCGATGACTATGACGCTCTGGATATTCATGGATGGAACTATTACCTTATAGATGATATCTTTTCATTATTTATGTATTGTCCATGGTATCTGGAGTGGCTATGATTTGCATTGATTACTCACCGATGTTTCCTTGCCGGAGATATGCAGACCGATCACAAGCGGGCGCGCATGGTGGACATTTGTGGCCAACCCATTTATGGATGACAGCTGCGCGATGCGCAAATGCGGCAGCTGGAATGTTCACTGGCGGTCATGTGAAGTGGCCACAGTGTATTATATATATACCTGCATATGGATGTGTGCTTCGATTGGAGGATGAATGTTTCTTTTTTTCGTACAATCGAACCCGGCATGTTTCACAGCGAATGCACGGTGTAGTGATAGCAAGTAAAAGAGTGCACGACACGATTTCGTAGTTGAAGCCGTGGCCAGTGGAACGTTTTGTGGTGTTTGGACCGCATGATGAACAATGCGACCCAAATGGGGGATGTTAAAACCCTCTAGGCCCCGTGCCGAAATTGGGTAGCAGTTCTGAGGTCCTTGTTGGTGTTGCTTCCCAAGTTCCATTGATTGCCATTTTGGCTCAAGACACAATTGAGGTTCAAGATCCGATGTGTGACTGCGCACATACGTGACGGGCATTAAGAGCAAAACAACTGCTTGCGCTGCATTCGTCAGGACCACTGTCGTAACTATCATTCCTTCTTCCTTACAACGTTTACACGGGTTCGGCTATAACGGCATCGTCCGTATACACCTTTCTACGTGGTTGGTATTAAAGCTTGAGGGTTCGGTGCACAGCGTCCCACGGGACGTCACCTTGCCGTCTCTTGACACTTATCATGGCCTTGTCATCAAGATCAGTACGGCAAGGCCGTCCATCCGGGAGCAGAATTGCAAGCTCGATTTGGGGCAGACGGCTCGCATCCTTTCCCAGAAACGTTTTCTGCTGTCATGTCGAGCGCGAAACCGGTCAACTTCATGTCCGGCAACAGGAATGGCCCGGGCTGTGTTAGCAAGCTCCACGGCACGATGTTGAAAGACTAGCGTGCTAGGACAGCAAGCAGCCTCTCCCGTGGCAACTGAGCCGGTGGGAGGGCGCTACCCTCCCGTGCGGAGTAAACACGAGGGATGTGACAGATAGGCTGCTGTTTGCGCGCATATTTAGCAGTGTAAAGTGCCGGTATGGATTGTGCTCTGGGACCACCAAGCCTCTGCAAAGCAAGAAGCAGTGGGATGTCGGCGGGGCGTTGCTGTTCCAGAACATCCAGTGCCTGTCGCGCCTGGAATGTGCCGCACGCCCAACTGTACGCACAAACCATACTTCATTCAAAAGCTGGTTCCAGCACGGCGCGACCTTTTCAGCTGCACCTCTCTCGCCTGAGCACGTTACAGACTGTAACTTTTCTGGGTGGAAAATAGCCACTGACCCGGTACATGGTCTGACCCCTCATCTGAAGAACGGAAGCGATCACGCTGTAGTTCCCAACCGGTCGGGCAGATTATGGCGACTCCTTTGGCGACTCTGCGGGGAGACCGCCGGGATATGCGCGCACATGACCCCTGAGAAGGATTGCATGATGGCCCGGTGCTGCGTATGGGTCCATCGTGTTTTTTTGGAGAAAAACCGGACGGTGGTTATTTGTGCCCCAGCCTCCCACATTGTACATAGTTACTTGCCGCAGTCGACTAGGAAGGCTCTGGCCAGTCTCCATTTTGTACTGTAGGACAGCTTTGGCAATTCTGCAAGAAACTTCTGTCCAAGCAGGTTCATCCGTCGGTTGCAAGCTCCACGCAATATCTGGAGCAGCATCCGTACTCAAACCGAGCCCATGCGCGACTGTCTCGACACTGAGATAAGCAGTGCCCGCCTGAAGTTTGCAAATATGAGGCAAGAAAGTGAAACTGTCGACTTGCGCAAGGCATTTGGGGCACAATTGCCCAAATCTTTGCTGATGTTCCCATAAGAATCGCCGTATGCATCCAGGCTGCCGCACTTGGAGCAGTACGGTCAAAGAAAGCCGTCATGTCAGTTCATGTTTTCCAGTCAAGGCAGCAATGATGCTACCAAAGACTTCACCACACACGGGGATGCTTACAAAGGCGCATTGATTTGTGTGAACCTCACAAACAAGGCCTTGACCTGGGTGGCGGACAGGACAGGCCCCCGATTGTAATTTGTGAATTGCTCCGCGGTTGGAAACGTCCACGGCGGGTCCTGGGCAAACCAATTTTGCAATCCTTGAAACAGTGTGGAAGTTGTCGTACCGGACAGGGCTTTCGACTCCTACAATGGAGTCAAAGAGCGCTTGTACAAACAACAATCATCCGACTTGCGCATCGGGGTGATTACGTCGCAGGAAAAGCCCGGAGCCGCTAAGTTGACCATAGAAAATGGGAACCGTAGGCTCTCTAGGAGGCCACTGGGCTGACAATCGAGTTGCACGTTGGCCCAATAGAGGGGTCTCGTCCAAGAACGCAGGCAAGCTCACAGCGCGGGCATTCTGTGACCTGAAATAAAGCTGACCAGTACCGTGAAAATATGCTGCCATGTTTTGGAGTTTGACGCTCTTGGAATGATTTCCAGAACCGGTGTCGGAGCTCTATTTCGGTAAGGAGAGGCCATTCCCAATTTGTCGACTGGCACAGACGGTCTTCAGCCAATGGATCTAGCTCGCGCCCTAAGTGCGCAGTTTCCTAGCGAGTTGCTTGGAAGGAGTGCCTTAGGCGGAGCTGGGGTTGAATTGCACAGTCGTTGGGAAAGGCATGAACCCCTAGGCCACGATTGGGATCACATTGCACAGAGGTGCATTGCGTTGACTCTTTGACCTCAAATCTCGGCTCGAATCAAATCCTTTGGCGCCGGCAGCCTGACGTCATAGATTGAGAATGATATGTCATGAGCGAGTTTTGGGATTGCAACCTTAAATGCGCAAAAAAGTCACGGTTGCGTCTTGTGCGAGGGGGGGGAGTGTGTGTTTTTGCCCCTCGACTGCCACCCCTCCCCCCTCCCCCCCCCCGGCAAATACCCCCCCTTGAGAAAAACTAACAAACCGAAAAAGGTCATGTTTTTGGGATCATTTGAGTCATATTATGGTTTGTATCAATGTGTCAGGTCCCAAAGCTGCTTTTTGACCATGCCTTGTGATGTTTGTTTGACATGAGCAAATCCTGCTGGACTGGTGGGTGACGGGTTTTGAGTATGTCTTGGCAAGACAATTTTCTTTGTATAAAGCATGCCAGGCAAGGCCAACCTGTCGAAATCCTTCTGCCTGGCGCCCAGCTTGAGAAAGACGAGGATTCTCAGAACCGGCAGAGCTGATCTTGTGGATCGTTCGATGTTCGTTTGCAAGCCAGCAAAAACCGCTTGCTGGTGCTTGCACTCGGAAAATTAAAGGCTGTCCCATGCCATCTCTCAGCACACAGTCAGAATCTGGAGTCAAGCTGAGCAGACACCTTGCCGTGATTCTACTTGGACAAATCACAAGCAGGATGTAGGTTTGGGCGTTTGGCGCTGTGAGTTTGAGGCATCCAGTGTTGGAAGAGTGACGAAATCTATTTGTCATTGTCAGCGAGATTCGAGTCACTGAACGTTTTGATTCAGCATCCGCAGCGAAAGATACAGCTCACATGCTGTGTGTTAAAGGTGGCTCAAGGCTCAAGCTGAAGCAACAGGTTTTGGTCAGAGCCGAGGATTTGTGCTTTGAGCCGCAATGTCGGGCACAGATGTCCATTTCTTTTGCGATATACCAGAGGGACATGTTGAGGGGCATGAAGGGCCCCTTTGGACGCCTTGGGCCATTGGGTGGTGGGTAACGTTGTTCAGCATTGCCACGTTCAACATTGCGATGTACGCAGCCCTGACCTTCTGCTACTACTCATCCTTCTCGACAGATGCAGCGGTTAAAGCATATCAGCAGTTCATGAAGAACGTGTGTGCCCCCTACGTCTTCGTCTGTGCATATCGCTCCTATATGCCAGCGCAGTATCCTTTGCGATATGTTTGGTTTGATACACCGCTGTCGAGCATTTTGTTGGTCCGGAGTTTAGCAGCAGTAGCCGAGATGTGCTTTATCGCACAAATCGCGAAGGCGCTTTCCTTCATCGAGAACCAGGTGAACGACACCAATCAACGTTGGGGCAACTTTTATCATTCCTTTTGTCAGGCTTCTGCTGTCGCAATGGTGATAATCATCTTTGTGGCCCAGTGTTTCTCTTTCGCCGGAACCATCACGAAGAACAACTTATGGTACGCATGTGAGGAGTTCAATTGGGGATTGGCCTTCGCAGTAGGCATGCCTTTCTTCTTCGTGTTGTCCTACCAGGTGTTTCAGCTTCGGAAAGAGACCGAGACACCGTGGACTTGCTCCTGCAATGCCATGGTGTATGCGGTGGGGATGAGTGCATTCTGCCTTGGCTACGTGCCGTACATGTTCGTCATCGACGCACCGGAGTACTGGCAGCGCTACCAGGACCAGCTGGCGGAGGGCTTTGAATTTCTGGGCTTCTGGGACGGCGTGAAGAATGCGGCTTTCGTGCGTCATCACACTCACCTCGAGGAGGTGTGGCAATATGCGACAGTTTGGCAGACAGCCTACTTCAGTGCAGCGGTGTGGCTCAGCCTGCTGTTGGCCTTGGCCCCGAAGCTCGAGGTTGCAAGCACCTTCAAATCCCTTCTCGGCTAACCTATCAGCCAAAGAAACGATGGCAAATCAAAGCTTCAAGTTTGATATCCGCCATCCGCCCAGTTCGATGAAGCTGGGCAATACAGGCTTGACAGAATGCTTCATGCAGCAACCCGCACAAGACGGTTGTTGCGTCCGCCTTTGGGTAGGTGTCCCACAAAAATGGGGTTGCTACAGTAGGAAGATGCAGGCCTCCAGTCCAGGCGTGATGCCAGAGTCCAAAAAGGTCACAGGCTGATAAAAAACCTGGTGTCGAAAGCTGCGTCACGCTTCTTTTCCCCTGGGTTTTATGCGTTTTCCCGTCAATGGCTCATGCGTAGCTGTGAACGGGAGAATTAGGACAGCATTGTTTTTATGCAGAAATGGTCAAAAACCCAACCTTTTTTGCATTGTTGTAGTTCAATTGGTCAAAAATCTGAAGCTGATACCTCCAAACAAAGCTATGCATGTAGCGAAACAAATCTGGATTGGCTTCTTTCTCTTTAGTAGAGTGAAGCTGAGTTGGCACATAGTCCTGCAAGGATTGCCACCATCTGTCTATACATTGCGTCCCCACTATGAAGCAAGCTGGTCGCTTGCGCGCTCCCCTCATCTGTGAGACTCTCCTAGCGAATTCATGCTTGCTGTGATTCACATGGTGGCTCTCCAAGCGCTTTTTACCAGCATCTGCAACCACGGGAAAACAAAACTAGATCTGTGCCAAAAACTCGCAGGGTACATCTGCCGTGTCTAGGTTTACACACACGTGCGTACATGCGTGCGTGCGTGCATGTGCATGTGTGTGTGTATACGCGTTCCCGGGGGCGTGGCCGTCATCTACCTGTGTGCACTGGCATGTGTGTCCGTGTGCGTGCAAGCCCTTACAAATGACGGAAACATTGCCCCCTCCCCCCCCACCCCCCCCTCCCCCCCCAGCTGGAAACTGCAACTCGACATATCACAGCCTGAAACAGAAAACGGCTAAAAAACCTCCAAAACTACCAGGTTTTTAATCAGCCTGTTTCCTCCAAAATGTCCATTGGCCCAGGTTCTCTTCAATCGAGCGGAACATCCTCCAGGAAGAGACGTTTGGGGTCAGGCGCAGAGTATCCAGACCGATTTTTGTCCTGGCTTTGCTGGTGTATCATTGGACTACCACTCACTTCCTGAGTTCCTGGACTTGAGCTTTTTGGGAAACCATTTTGGTGGTAAACATCAAGTTTGGCACTTTTGTAGCCGAGCCACTCAGGAAGTGAGACCAGCTTTTAACGGGGACATCTTCCCATTATGGGCGCCTGAGGCAGAGGGCAGCGGTGACTGCTTGTTTGTTTACTTGATTGTGTGCTTTTCGGTTGGCTTCAACATGGTCTGCTGGCTTTCTTGTGCACAAAATAGAATTCGAAATGCTTGGTGAGGTCTGCCGTCTGGCAGGAGATTTTGCTCCAAGTGTTGGAACTGTGGTACTGCCAGCTGATTGATTTGCTGACGCGCTTGGGTGTTGGTACATGCGTGCAGTTTGCGTCGGCGTTTCTGAGGGAGTTCGACAGTGTTGTGCCGTGCAGGTTGGGTGCGGGGCCAAAAATTTGGGGCAGCCTCTTTGGCAGGTGGGTTTGGTTCGCAAGAGGTCAGTCAGCAAATGAAAAGAGCGTGCAGCAGCGTTGTTGCAGCATGTATGCTGCAGGTGTGTCCAATTTTCGGTATGTTAGGGTTTGGGGTTAGGCACACTTATAGAGTTATCTTAAGTTAGGAGTTAAACTCAAACTTCTTTGCACATATGATTTTGGTTCAACTTAATTAGCATTTATGTATACTTCCAATTATCTTGTTTTTGCTTTAACTGGCATTGCATGTTTCTCGAGTTTTTCCGTTTTTTGTTAACTCTTTGTAAGAGGCAGGCTGATTGACGGAAACAATACTTTCTTTTTTTAAAGTTCCATTCAGCACGCAGTTAAGCTTGAAACACATATTTGGTCTACTTGAATTGTTTTTTGAATTTGACGAATTGTGAAGTGTTTCCTGAAGTTCGTTAATTTCGATTGACAGCTTCATCAAACTTGTTTGGTCACGATTTATTTTTCCATGAATTGCAAGCAGACATCGGGAAATTTCTTGGCATATGCCATAAAGAGCAAGCAACACTGCAGCCAGCAAGGGTAAGTCACAAACCGAAAATACAAGCACCAAACAACATTGATAAATGTTAAATAGGCATCGCAACAACAATCTGAGTACCCCATCATCTCTATTTGTAGTCTTTTTCCCCTCCGTTTCCTTTGTCAGATTTTTTGTTTGTTTTGTTCCTTCTTGTTTTCCCCGCCTTGTACATGAGTAAGTTCCAAACAATTCCTTTGTCATACATTGTTTTTCCCAAGTTTTTCAGTTTGAATTGATTCTCAGAAGATCGCTTTTTGGCTGGCTTCAACATAGTACTTGGGGCTTGTGGCTTGTCATTTGAGGCTAGTGGCTACCAGATGTGGCGGCAGATATTGCCAGTTTTCGCCCTGCGGTACTGCCTTCCTGTCGATTTTCTGACGTGCTGGGGTGTTGGTTCGTGCGTGCAGCTTGCGTCGGCTGTACGTTTCTGAGGGCTAACGGCTGACTCAAATCCACAGAAGCAGAAGAAGCAGATTGGTCTGTTTAATTTAGACAGCTTTGTGGCGTGCCTGACAGAAGTACGCCAAGGCCACGCACAACATCGAAAGAAGAATAACACACCAAGGCCGCATATAAAGCAACACTGGCGCCAATGCCTTCCGCACAGAAATGTTCGACTGCTTGAACTGTGTTAAGGATGTTTGGAAAGAAACTGTCTCAGACTCATAGATAGTTTATAAAGAACGTTTCTTTGCGCACACATCAATGGACGCCGCTCAGGGTTTTGGGGTCAGGCACGCAGAGCCTCAGCAAGTCAAGCAACGCAGTCAGAGCCATTGCTGTTGCGGAATGCTGGGGAGTAAGCTGAGGCATGTTGGCTGCTGCTTCTCAAAAGCCATGCTTGCATTGCTTGATTGCGTGCTTCACCATATAGTCCATCGTATACTGCATTGCACGCTGCATTGTGCCCTGATCTATGCTGGTTTGGGTGCTTCACAGTTGGCTTAAACGTTTGCGGGTTGCAGCGCGAGGTTGCCATCGAACTTGGAGCAATGCAAGGAGCATAATTTGAATGTCCTGCGGAGGTTTGGCTGGTGAGGCTCCAAGAGTTGCGCTTGTGCCACTGCGCGCTTTGCGAGCTGGTTTGGTGTTACGTGCGTGCAGCTTGCGTCGCTTGGACATTGCATGTCCGCGGAGTAATGACGCTTGCCCTGAGCAGGTGGAAAGTTGTTTGCTGCGTCCTGTGGTGCTTGGGCTGGTTACAGTGTCATCCACAAAAAATAGCGTCAGGATATCATAATAGGATTTGAATGTCATTCAGAGATGCATCAGAGGCAGCGTATTGCTTGTGTAACAGGTGTTGGAGTCGCTTGGCATGCAATCTGGGCTGGCGTCAGGTCTCACGCTAAGCCTGATCCTGTCATATGGGTGTTTCCGAAAATTGGGGACACCCCTAAATTGTAATCGTTGGTTGGCTTGCCTTTTTACCCTTTGAACCCCATGTCTGAATGCAGAAGCGCTTGCCAAGAAGCTTTGCTCACTTTCAAGCGTAGTTAGCGTGGAATCAAGATGTCCGTGGCTTAGGGTTTAGGGTGTTGGCCCAAACCATCCAATCCCTTTCGACTGTTGTGGACGATCAAAGCGCAAAGTTTCTGGGCGACGGCAGATGGAGAAAATCGTTTGTTTCAGCAGCAGCCCAAGCAACAGTGACAGTAACACCATCAGCGTGCAACCACAACCACAACCACAAGCAGAGTCACAAGCAAAGTCACAAGCAGCCACAACCGCAACACAACCACAGCAGCAGTGCTGGCAACAACCACACGAGCATGGCAAATAAGTCGGCCGCGATCTTGGCGCGGCAGCACGTCATCTCCACCGCGCCTCAAAACAATACACAATTATGTTAATTCTTGCTTGACGTACTTTTGAAAGATGCGATGCTCTGCCAGAGTTTGTTTGCACTTGGCTGCGCAGCAATCATCAGGCCCATCTCTGCTGCCGATTGTGCCGACACGGAACGCATGCGTGACTGATTGGGGCGCGCGCTTCCCAATGCTGCCATTGACCCTGCGACTTGTTCTGTAGCAGCAGCGCCAACAGCTTCCTCGATGCTCAGTCCGATCTTGCGGCTGTAACTTCTGCTCGTGTCGACCTGCTGCATTCGCCGGTTGAGGATTGGCCGTTGCCGCGTAAGCTCACTGTCGATGCTCAATCCCCACATGTGCGTGTTGCGAAAACACAGGAACCGCGCGAGCCAATGTGGAAGCGAGCGTGTAGTGCTGTGCCAGCGTTGGCATTGGACACGGTCGAGAGCGCCTCAGCCAGTACAGCTGCTGCTCCAAGCCACAGCGTGGAGAATATGCAAATTGCTTGCGGGTCGAGCCAGCCAGAGGGCAGTGACTTGGCTCACAGCGGACGGCCCGAAATGCCCCGTTCAGCGTCCGCCCTCCCCGCAGTCGCCTCATGCCAGCGCGGGAAGCCACGGATACGTAAGTCGCATGTTCGGAAACTGCCCCCATGCAGCATTTGGCAGTGGAGTTCAGGTGTGCGCTTTGACCGCCAACCGGATCACACGGAGCACTGTGCAAAACGCACACTGCGGGACCTTCGTAGCCCAGGCTGGCGTTGCATGGTGTGCGGGTTGGGCTTTGGCAACCTATTGCAGCAATCAAAGGTTGCTTTCTCCAAGTAATTACATTTTTTTCGGCAGTTTGGTGCTTACTAAAGCTGCGCAATGCCACTTTGAAAGGCCTGGCCCGACGGAGGCCCGTCAAGGACACAGAGAACGAGGGAGGGCCGCTGCCCAGACTAAGTCTGATTCAGCAAGCAATTGCTTGTGCCGCTGCTCGACCCTCAGTCTCGGAGTTTGAGGTGAACATTGTGCCGCAGGGCGGCGCCTGGACCTTGTCCTTTACGGCACAACGTGCTTGGGCGAGGCACTGTGCTGCGACGCTTCGGCGCGCCGGCTACCCGCAGCCACGCGCTGCAGACGAGGATGGCGCGGCCATCGCTCACGCCCGGCGCCGCACCCGGAGCTGCGTCGGCTGGCCCGCGCCGCCGGTGGCGTGCCCCCCAGCACCGATCTGCAGCGCGCCCTGGGCCGCAACCTTGCTCGGCGGCGCTCGTCGCACGCTGGTCCGCGCCCCTGGCTGCATGTCCGCCTT